TACAGCCTTCTCTCTCACAGCTTCTGTTTTCATTTTTTGCCCAGCAGCTCATCTTGGGTTTTTCTTTCTCTTGAACTATGCATATTTTCCCCTCCAAAATCTGAATAACTGGCTCTGGAGCTCTGCTTTCTTAAAAGTGCACATATATTCTGACCTTTAAAAATTCTTTTAAATGAAATCTTACTCGAAAGGGACTGAATATGTCCATACCTGTTTAACATCAGTTCTACAGAAGATGATTCCTCATGCACAAAATGTTACACTTGAGTTTTAAAACTCTGAATGGTAGAAAACTTTCTTGCAAATTTTTTATAAAATAAAAATCACAAGGAAGTTTGTTTTGCAAGCATTCACATGGATTCCAGGAATTTCTTACAACCAGGAGACCTGCTTTGATCATGGAAGAGTTAGTTTGAAATTTTAACACCAAACAATTTTGGCTTTGTTTAGATAAGAAGGGAAATCCTTTTTCTAATTTTACCAGTGTGAACCAGAATTGGATTGGATTGAGGGTGGTAAATAGATGTTGGAGTCAGGAACAATCTTAGTTATGACAGTGGTGGCAATGGACATGAAGTGTCCAAGGTGTGTCAGTGTCCAGGAGGGCAGCTTAGCACTTTGTGTTGATGCAATGACAATTTATATAGTATTAAATATAATTATTGTGACAACAGATGTTTCTCTATTAAGGCATTTTAGCCACCATAGACTTAAGTAGTCTGGCAGGTATGCAAGGTTTATAGTCCAGGTAATTATTTTGTAGTTAAACTGATAGTATAATATGACTGCAGTGGCAAGATTAGATTTACATGCTTTTGTATTATTGCAAAAGTATACCTGTATCAAAAAATTAGCAAATAGCTGATGGCATAAATGTCCATAGAGTACCATAGTTGATTATCATTATAGGAACTGAGAAAAATAAAGACTTACATAAAGCAGTGAACAAATATTCAAATAGTGGAAATGATTAGATACATATTTATTCAGGATAGTCTGAACATATTCGTTCAGGATAGTCTGAACATATTTAAAATGAGTTTACATTTGCCGGGACTTAATTCCAAGCCATATGAGATGGAAGCCTTAGTCCCAACTACTTGGGCCATTTAATGCATAATGACATCAGTGGAGTGGGTGGGGGCGATATGCATGCAGCAATAAGATAATTTTGTTATGCACCATATCAGGTAGCAGGTGCTACCTGTTGCCTTTGACCTGTTTTGTTTTATACTCCACTAAGTAGACATAGCTATCAAGTTATAGTTCTCTCAATGTTAAGATACTACTGTTAAGTTTTAGTGGTCTTGATGCACTTGATTTATGCTGGTTTTAATTCAGGTGGTCAAACTTGGAAGAAATTAATATGTCAGGGAAAAGGGCAGTACTAGACCTGTTCTTTCTTGGTATTTTGTTTTCCAAAATGAATGGAGGGGCATTTAGTTACGAAAGTTTCCACCTTCAGTCTGGAATGTTACAACTCCAGTTTCTCACTTTAGTGAGAACGTTGACTTAGTTCAAAGTATTAAACTGTTGTTAAACATAATAATTGTAATAAGACAAACCATTAGGAATCTTTTGGTGAACCAGCAGAGCAAATTGTGACTATAACTTCCCTCTGATTCTACCAACGTTTGCTTTGCTGTGAGGGTGGGGGGCAAAGTCACTTTTTTCAGTATTTAGGCAGACCAGTAAGTAAAGCCCACTCTGATGTGTAACATTGTTGAGCAGGAACAATAGTGATGGGTTCAGGGCAACTGGAAGCTGTTTCAAACATGCAAACTGGTAACATTTTTTAAATAATCCCTCCCATATCCATATAATCCCTACCACATACATAATCTCAGAGAATCTGTAATGTGAATGGGGTTCTCAATGAAGATAGGTCCACAGCCATTTTACACTTGTTGAAGGAGAATAGTTAATGCAGTAGTAGATTTGCTTCTAGGTATCTGTGCACAAACTGTCACACTAGAGTTCTTGTACATTAATTGTCTGAAATAAAAGCGGTGAGCTGTGTGGCCATTGCAAAATACAAATGCACCGATTCTTGCATCTGTACATTATTTGTTAGCTGGTACAGGCAGCACAAACAGAAAGTGACACATTTGAAAAGCATTTTGCTTCATGAATTCACTAATGAGGTGGGAGCACAAAATAATACTGTGGCACATTTAAGACTAAAGCTTTGGATTTGTTTTTTTTGAATGTGTCCCATATTGATTGGCTAAGTGACTTTCAAAGCTTCAAAAGTAGGGTACTCCCCCACTTGCCATATTGCTTGAATGTCAGTTGCTCAAAGGGTTAAAAGAACTTTATTGGCCTAGTGAAGGCAAGTGTCCTGTGAATCTAAATACTTCAAAGAATAGAAGTTAGGCGAAAATGGGGAACATGTTAATCAAAATAATGTCTACTATCTTGTCAAAATAACTGTTTCTAGTGTATTAAGTCATGTGTGAAGGCAGGTGCAGCTATCTCCCTTTCAAAAATTTTAAGCGTGCACTCTACATGCACGTGAGCATGTAAGTATTTTAAGAGTGGATTTATCACATTAAAATTTATGGAGGGAGAAACATTGAACAGGTCTCCATTTCTAAAAAAAATCAATTTAAAGTAAAATAATTGAAGCACAAATAAACTAGGGTTGGATTAACTGTTTTTAACTTGACCTAAAAGGTTTTGAAACATTTTACTATTGAGTCAAGACACAAGAAAGGAAATGAAAATAATTTCCCATTATTATTGGAGATGTAATTTTGTCAGACACTTCTGCCAAAGAAAGGTTGAGGTAGCAATGTTTTCTTCCTGTGGTTACCTGTTCTTTCCTGCAAAGCATTCACAGCACAAATATGTTCATTACAGCAGATCTAACTAAAGAGTGCTTTAATCAAAATAATTTTTGAAAATTTTGATTATCTCACTTTGCTCTTGATGGAGCTCCTTTACAAACATATGCTTATCCAAAGTGTGTTGTGTTAGCAACACAATCACATTAGAAAGTCTAGCTCCTTAGAACACTAGTCCCATTAGTTCTAATTGGAAGTGTGAATATCAGCCTTTTACTTGCAGGTCATCAAGCGCCTCATCATTCAGAGGTGGCAGATAAACCAACGGGATTGAGTGAACATAACTGTACACCATAATTTGGATTTTGAATATTCAAGTTTGTTTTAGCTCAGATTCCACAGAGTATGCTCAATATAAATGAATGTAGAATGCTTTGTATATTGTATTATATAAACTCAGTTATTCAAAGTACCAATACCTCACATGCAAGAAGCAGTAATAAACAAACTCATAAGGACACTGATATTAAGGCTTGATGGCAAGAACACCTTGTAGAAAATACATTCAGTTATTGCCAATGAGTGAGAACACCATGTTTTGGAGATCATATATTTGTGTTGATGAATAAGTTTAGAGATTCCTTGCACACGAGATGTCAATTTATCAATGATAATCTAGTTTGGGAATGTGTGGTCCCCAGATTGTTGCTGGAAACACAGCAAACAGGAGAGGTTCCTCACATTATGCTCTTTGTTCTATTTATCCTTTGCTTGTGTTACTGGTAGCATTTAAAAATATTTCTTTTACCTCATTTGCAAAAAAATCCCTGCATGGTTTGCAGCACTTTAAAACAAAAAGAAAAATAGGCAGTCACTCAAGACATTAAATTGGGTAAGAATTTACATACTGTTCCTCTTTTTAGCCTTTGTTCCAGCCTATGTCTGTTGTTAATTGTGTTCTCTCTCTCTCTTTTTTGTCTTTAAGCACAAACTAAGCCTGGCAACATTATCATCATGATTCAAGTGTTTTGTTTTGTTCCCCCCTCCCATGATATAATACTAAATAATGTTGTGACTGTCATAATGTGTATAATTCTGGAAGTTTCTTCCCATGTAAACAGTTGGTGTGGGTCTGGTGGGAAAGTGTTTCTTGTGAAGTTGTACTGGCTGGGCGGGATACAGTAAAATATTTCTATTCTTAGCACTATTCTAACACCATTTTCTGGGATAGAAGAATCTTTGTTTCCTGAGTTATTGTGACATTGATAATTCAGCATATTTTGTATACGCAGAATAAACATGGGAATCATTAAGATAATTTTGAATGTCTCAAAACACAAGTTATATGTCAAAGTATGATGAAACTACAAAATCCTTGCAACTATGGGAAAAAGTAGGATTAATAAATGATGGGGCTCAACAAACTGAGTTATAATCATGAGAGTAGTTATATTTGTTTCTGCGGTATTGTAATGTTTACCTATGTGTGCAATCTTTGAAGATGGATTACTTTTTATTTTGAAAAATGAGATGAATGCATATATGAAATAGTTGTGTTCTTCAGTGTGTCCCCCCCCCCTTTAAAGTATTTTTCCTGTTAGTGAGCATTGGGCATCTTGCACTTGCATCAAGATGCAGCATTTGTACTTTAGCAGATTATTTTTCTCTAGGCTAGCAAAACAACAGTAGTTTAGATGTGATGGTGAAGAGTGGCTTTGATACCTGATACATCTCCGTTCAGCCATCTCGGTTTATCCATCCTTCTCCATGGCTTGCAAGTTTCAATTGTGTCCGATATATCTGTTACTGGATTTAAAAATAATGAAATTACTGCTTCTTTTTTGGTAAGATCTGTGCAAGCAGTCCAACTTCAGAAATATTGTTTTGTGCTCAATGTTTGTAATTCTTTTAAATCCCACTGATTTCATTTTAAAAAGTCAGGAGGGTACTAGAAACATTCCTGTCATAATAAATGGGTCTCAGTTGGGGGTGGGCAACTGTGACTCTTCAGATGGTGTTTGACTTGAACTCCTATTGATCCTGGCTCATGGGAAGGCGTGTGGGGAGCAGCAGTCCAACAATACTTCGAGAGTTACAGTTACCCACCCTGTTTTAACTGAGCACAGCTGTTACTCTTTCATGTTATTGTTATTTTTTAAGCAGATGCCAAAATATAATTTGGATAGGATGTTTTACTATGCTTTATTCTTTTAGCAGCACAGAAAGAAGAGCGGAAGAATGAAGATAAGCCTACAGTATCTTCTTCAGTATCAAAGAAAATTGTTGCATCAACTTCTACAGTTCAAAAACAAATGTCTTCCCAAAATAGGACTCAGTTTCAAAAGAAGCCCTCTACATTTACTAGTACTTCACTAACCAAACATCCAATTAAACATTCTGCTGCGGATTTCAAAGGTGTAATACCTAAGAAATCCTCAGTTTCAACTGGTTCATCTACACCAAGCAGTGTGCCGTCATCAAAACCATCACCTGGATCCTATGGTATACCTTCGACTTCCAAAAAAATAGTTTCTCCTTCTAGCACAGTTGGGGGACTTCGAAAGCCCTTTATGTCTTCCACTGTTCCATCAACAACATCAGCAGCATCGCAAGGCAAACTGTCTGCAAGTGCCAGTCAGTCACAGCCTAATTCACAAATTCGTCAAAATATACGGAGATCCCTTAAAGAGATTTTGTGGAAAAGGTAGGATATAAGTCTGCTTAATTCTACAAAATAATCCATATATGTTAGGTTAATTTTTAGTTTGTGGAGCCAGATAAATAACAATATACAGTCATTAACTTAAGTGAAATATGTATAATGCTTATATATATTTTATTTTATTTGTACCCCACCTATCTGGTCTTGCGACCACTCTAGGTGGCTTCCATTGCAACATAAAACAACTAATAAGAATAAGAGCAAAAACATTGGCTTTGAATAACTATTTGTGCTAAAGATGATAAATGTCAAGAGAGCATCCTAAAGCCAGTTTTAAATGTCTTGACTAAAATGGTATTTTTAAAAAATTAATAAAATAGTTTAGTACTGAATACTGATCGTATAGAGACGGGTATGTGCATTTCTTTTGGCATTTACCTTTTCTGACAGTGCCAATCTCTAGTTAACCTATATCATCACCGGTATTTCAAGCTGAAGTTTTATCGGATTACATGATTCCTGAAATACTTCTGACAATATGGCAGTGTGGAAGATTGTAATCAAATTTGGAAAATTTGTTTCACTTTTAGTTCTGTGGACTGTTTACTAGACTGTCATAGAAGCCTTAATATCTTATTGCTGTATTTAGAAAAACAAAACTGTTTATTAATGTGATCACTATCAGGGTTTTGTTGTTGTTTTGGCAGAGTAAGTGACAGTGATGACCTGGTTATGACAGAAAGTGAAGTGGGAAAAATTGCTCTGAATATTGAAAAGGAAATGTTTAATTTATTTCAAGCAACAGACAATCGGTATAAGAGTAAATATCGCAGCATTATGTTCAACCTTAAGGACCCCAAAAATCAGGTATGTTTGTAAAAAAGTCAGTGAACAGACTGATTAAACAAAAACATTTAGTAATTTCTAAGTTGAAAAGAAATATGACTAAAGGAGGAACGTATCCGTTTTAGAAAACAATGCATAGGATAAATCAAAAGTTTTCTCTTGTGAGGGTTCAACTTTAGGCTCCAAATTTAATTCAAAGAAATCAGCAGATCAGTGTTGCTTCAAAACAGGTGAGGGATTTATTGGAGGATCAAACAATAAACAAGTGTCTGGAACATGATTACAAGTCCTTTCTCCTTCTGCCAACTGGTACGGAAGGGGCTTCCATTCGTTGAACAAGAACAGGTTTCTATAACTGCTGTCCCATGGTCCCTGGAGATCAGTTGAGATACAATCCTTTACTGTCTGCCTCACTGCGCCTTCCAGCAAGGGCACAGTCTCTTCATCCAGATCATCATCTCACAAGATCCGTCCATCGGGGCCTCGATTCTCCCAGGGTCTTCCCTGTAGCTCCTTCTCTTCATCTCTCTTACTCTCCATTCCAACCTTTCTCTCCTCTCTCAGTCTCCTCCACTCCCATGCCTCTGTTTCCCCTCAATAAGAGGGTTTAGGGGGAATCTCTGTTCTTTTCCTATCTGCCTCCTTCTTTGGCACTCTTAATCTCTCCCATAATCCACAGATCCTGCATCCACACCCATTCCCAACTGGGCAGTAACTGCTCTTTCCTCCTCGCTACTTCCCCTACTCCTGTCTCAAACTTCATACTCCTTTTTCTTTCCCTTCCCGCCTTTTCTCTGTGAACCCCACCTATCATCACTTTCTGTATATCTTCCATCAGCTCCTCTGTCACTGTCTCCTGCGGAGGTTCCACTGAAGGTTTGGGTACAGGTTTGGAGTCCACTTCCTTATTCTTGTTGTTGAGGAGGGATGGCTCTCCAGCAAGTGGCGTATCCCTCTCACCCTCTGTCTCACATCTCTCATTAGAACGCTGTGTCACTCAGTAAAATTGGTTCAAGAAAAGAAGTTGTTCTTCTCATATTCCATATTTAATCTTTAAAAATCCCCAGTCACAGTGTATTGTCTTTGAAGTAGCTTAGATTTATTTAATGGGTCAATTTATTGGTGGCTCAGTTTGTCACTGGCTATTCATTCGTCATGCTGGCTAAATAGAGTTCTATTTGAGATTAATTCCAGAACTCCTCCTGCATTTTTCTAGCAGTCCTCTGAAGTGGATTATGAAGGTTGAGGGGAACTAGGAACTAAGACTCAAGAGCACATTGTTTCATAAGCTGTGTTCTCTTTCCGAATCTTCAGATCAATACAATGTTTTTAACCATTTCCAGTTACATGGGACACATTATAATGTGAACGTACACAGAATATATGATATTAACCACTCATTCCAGGACATATTTTTACTATTAAAGGGCAAAAATGCTTGTTTATTTTCAAATTTTAATTTTGTGAGTTGACACTTCTAGAATATTAAACTGAGTGACATCAGTTCTACTTACCCAATAAAAGATACACTTCTGTCAGTTGCATCAATAGCCTGCACCATGTTAATTAGTAAATTATTCCTCTTTCTCTCCAGGGGCTTTTCCATCGTGTTCTTCGAGAAGACATTCCTTTGTCAAAGCTAGTAAGAATGAAGCCAGAAGAACTTTTATCAAAAGAACTATCTGCATGGAAAGAAAAACCGACCAAATCAGTAAGTAATAAATTCTGGTGATGTTACATAAGGACTGTTAAGGTTCTGTTACTTGTTAAATGGTTTTTAGAAATAACATCCTTTTATACAGGAATTTGCTCACAAATGTTTGTATGGAATTCTATACTATGAGTGGGTTAGATTGAATGTAATAATAATTTCAATTTGTTGATAATTGGTTGTAGAGAAGTAATTAAAAGATAAACTAAATATTTTGTATATATTCATGCACATGCATCCACATAATGTTATCTCATTATAGGTAATGGCACCTAGACGTAAAACTTTTGAAAATAAGAAATTGGTTATAAAACAAGATCCCATTCCAGATGTTAACATGGAAGATTCTCCACCAGTGTCTGACTCAGATGTGAGTATAAACTTGTGGCAGTAATTACCTGCATTATTTGCCAACAGTTAGTTCTTGTTATAACCTGAGATAACTTGCTTTAAATTAATGAAAAATATTTTGATATTAGGAAAGAAAAGCAACTGTTTAAAAGAAGAAAGGGCCAAATTCATCAGCTGAACATAGGTGGAGGACTTGCATGCAACCCAGCAGAGTTTCATTTTGGGATTTATGAACACAGTAGTGTAGTGGGCGTTTAATGGAAAGTTCCTTAAAAAGAAACAAATAAACCCAGAATCCTACTGGGATTTTACTGCCAATAGGATGCTGAGTGAAATTATGGAAGTCATGGTAGCTAACTGTAGCTAATTAACAAGATGCTGGTAGCATGTCTGATATGTAATCAAAACCACGTTATTTAGCTGCTGTTTGCTACCATGACATATGTAACTTTCCTTACTAAAAAAATAAATCCCAGTAGGATTCTGGCCAGGAGCAGGTGTTCCGTTTTCAACTGGCACAAACCTGATGGATTCATTTGTTGAATATACAGTGAACAGAATGGAAAATCAATATATTTTCTAAATGTGCATTTCCTTTTAGGAGCAGCAAGAATCAGATCAAACAAGACCTGAGAAAAAGAGTGCTCCTGTCTTGGATGTTTTCAGTAGTATGCTACAAGACACAACAAGTCAGCACCGAGCTCACCTTTTTGACCTGAATTGCAAAATCTGTACAGGTATGCACATAGATCTATGAAACTAATGTGGCATAAAAACAGGCACACTGACTGAAATCATGTTACACAGTTATGCAGAAGGCTTGGTATCTAACAGATAATACCTATGGAGATTGCTTTGCTTACAGCGACTCACCTTTTACATAAGTGAACAACACTGTTTCAGGTAGTGTAACTCAGTATAGTAAATAAAAACCTTGACTTATTTGCACACTTGAAAATAATCAGGGATAGGGTTGGTCTAAACTCATTTGAAATGCAGTTCTGTAACCAGGTGTTGCTACAGAAATGGCTTGCCATTGGTGCTATTTTTGAATTCTTGGTTTCATCAACAGTGGAAACTGTTGAAACAGTGGAAACCTATGCATAAACAAGATGTTTTCCTCTTGAGTCTCCTCCATCACCACATGAACATTGTGATGATGAAGGGTACAGGATTAGGTGTTCCCCTCTAAGTATATTCAGGGAACTGGAAATTATAACAAATAGGGCTACAACCATTCTGATTTTATAGATGAGCATTTTGGAGTGACTTTCCTTCAGGGTTCAATTGCAACGCTATCTTTTAAAAGGTATGCTAATGTTGTCTCCTACACAGGTCAAATGTCAGCATCTGATGAAGAACCAGCTTCGAAGAAACAAAAATTATCTTCTACTAAAAAGATGGAATCAAAGACAGAAATAAAATCAACATTGGAAATCTCAACTCCAGCAGACAATATGGAAGTTACAAAAGAAGAAGAATTGGAGAATGCTCCAGAACCTGTTGTTGGACCTGCAACTGAAGCAGTTCCTCAGCCAAGCTTGGAAAGAGCCTACATTCCTTTAACACAAGGACATACTAATCCAGAACCTTCTCTACCTAATGAGAATACTCTCTATTCCACATCTTATGCTGGTGGAGTTATCACTACTGTGACAGTTTCTGGCAAGGATCCCAGAACTGCAATGAGTACTTCATCAGCTTCTGTTTCTGCTGCAACCTCTGTATTGCATCCCATGCCCATCCCTGACAAAGTTTCTGTAGGTGAAAGTAAACCAGAAGTGTCAAAAAGTATTTTGCCAGCTCCAAAATCAATATTAACAAAGCCATCATCCTCATCAGACCTAAAATATTTAGCAGGTCCACCATCACTCAATGTTAGGTATGTATGTGTTATGCTAATAGAAGATCAGTATGTAGTATTGTGTATTTGAATGCTTGGATCTGTTTTTTAATCACAAGTCTTTCTGAAGTGGTGTACTTGCACAAGAGGGGCCAGCGTAAGATGAAGGAATACACAGACACCCATTTTCTGCACTAAGAGCAAGACATGGTTTTAGTTTCTTGACATGGCTAATGCAGTGTTCTTGTGTAAAAAGAAATAAGCTATTAGCTGACCTTTGAAGCATAATAGGAGTTGTATATGAGGGGTAGCAAATGTTGCTGAATATTTTGTAGTCACTAACCTTGTACTGAATATACATACACTGTTTCCTCGAAAATAAGCCCTAACCTGAAAATAAGCCCTAGTATGATTTTTCAGGATGCTCGTAATATAAGCCCTACCCCCAAAATAAGCCCTAGTTAAGTGAAACCCCGCCCTCCACCATTGTACAGCAACCAGAAGAAGATGACAGGATTGTATTTGAATCAATGTAGATGGATGTACATGAAAAAAATAAAATATCCCCTGAAAATAAGCCCCAATGCATTTTTGGAGCAAAAATTAATATATGACCCTGTCTTATTTTTGGGGAAACATGGCAGAAACAAGAACTAGAGTTGAATACTTACCCCGTAACCTCACTAGAATAAGCGTTCTAGCATTTGGATGGGTAATTTGCAAAATGTTGGAAATGCTTGCAATGGGGAAGACCAAGAGAGAATTCTCAATTGACCCATCTTGATTTCCTTCTTTCAGTATATCTGAGATACAGTCCCCTCAGGAAGGAGATACTTCCATATTTCTTTCTCGTCTCAACCCTATTTGGAAAGGCTTCATCAATATGCAAAGCGTGGCCAAGTTTGTCACTAAAGCATACCCTGTCTCTGGGTCGTATGATTATCTTAGCGAGGTAGGTCTTTGAATTGATTTGTTATGTATATAAACTATATATGAAATTATATTCCTTATTAAAGATGTTTTAAGAAATAAAATAAGCTGTTTAATGCTTTAGCTGCATTGATTGGGAGAGAAACTATTCAATTAATTACATATTTCATGCTTGATCACTGGTAAATATGTCCCTGTTGTTTGATCATTGATAAATACCCATTCAACAGCAGTCTGCCATTCAAGCTAGCATAAATTATTTGTGCTCACTGCAAATAATGTTGTAGTGCAGCATTAGAAATGGGAAGATGGTATATAAAGTACCATGTAATAGTAAATCATTATCTGCCATCAAGTCAGTTCTAACTTATCTCTCCAGAATAAACTACTTATGAGAATAAACTACTTATGAGATCTTATATAGCTTGCTCTTCTGTAAGGCACAGGGGGAATTGAAACCCAAACCTTTTAGTCCGTAGTCAGGTGTTCCAGCTCACTGTTGTCCATGCAGTGAAGCAGTAGTTCCCAACCTTGAGTAACCCAGGTGTCCTTGGGTTACCCATGAAGCTTTCAGCACTAGCTTTGCTGGCTGGGATTTCTGGGAGTTGCCTTCCAAGAACACCTGAGTTACCCAGGGTTGTGACCCACTGCAGTGAAGTACTGTGTATGCTGACTTAAATATTGCACAGAAAGGTAATTCTAATTAGAAGGCCGTATTAGTGGTATTTAAGTAAGGTAAAGCTCCCCAATGTATTAATAATATTAGCATTAGAAAAGATTCTGAAGATTTACTGTTTGGAGTACAAATGTCACAGACTTTACATATAGTCTGAAATCCAGTATTAAGTCACCACAGGAGTGGGCCATTGAATCAACACAAACTTACTTAAGTGTTGACTCACCAAACCCCCACTGACTCAGTGGGGCTGCCCTAGTTGCAACACATTACTGGATTTCAGTCATTGTGTACTTCAGGGTTTGTATAAAACTCAGTTTCAGGATAAAGATACAGTTGGGAAACAACTGTAAATCCTTCTTTCCTGCTGAAAGCTAGTGCAGCCAATTCAGCTTAAGCATATCTGCACTTCTGTTGTATTCAGTATGAGCAGGACATCTCATTTGGAATATTGGACCTTATTGCTGGCCAAAAAAATGTATAACAAGAATCAGTATAAATACCTTGCATCTGCATGTGAAAACACAGGGGTAGATACATTTCCAAATTTTATAATTGATAAAAGAATTATTATTATTTTTGCTTCTAATTTGGGAAAAAAGTGTGTTCTGCTGGTGAGTTTAGCAAACCATAAGCTTGATCTCATGGTAGTTCAAACTATGAATTCCACTTCACAGTTTTGAATTCTGAGAATTATGATATGGTATATTTACATGCATACTTGGTAACTGTCATATTGCCCTGAACAAGCAATCTCATCTGATTTCAGTAACTAAGCAAGTTTGAGAGGCCTCCAGTGAATACCAGGGATGTCCAAGCAGGATCAGGAAAGAATCTTGCTGGAAAGCCTGGAGATTCCTTATTGCTAGGCAGAATTTACAGTAGTGGGCCAGGTGGACCAATGCTATAGTCAGTATAAGGCAATTTTCTGTGTTCCTGTGGCTGAAATCCTATTGTTTTATTATGCATGTGGAAGGGAAAAGATATAACATTCAGTCATTTTTTGTGAGCAGATAAGGAGTCTCTGCTAGGATTCCTTATCTGGGTGTGTGTGCCCCCTGAGAAGCCCAGTTGTTTCTTGTTAATTGCTGATGAGGAATGACTGAATGTTATGCCTTTTGCCTTCCCCTTGCATAATAAATAATCAGGATTTCAGCCTGTAAATCTAAGCAAATTGTTCCTCAACAACAAGCATTTATTACTTAAAGAAGACATGGAAATATGTGAATCAGACTAGTAATGTTTTATCCATCTCAAAAATAATTTCATGAAAAAGGACTCACAACTACAGTTGTTTTTCTGTAAAGTGACAAAGTAATATTTGATTATGTAAGCATGTACTTTTCTCAGCATAATATGTAAAACACGCACTTACTCTGGGCAGAGTAGACTTTAAGAGACCTGCTCAAATATGAGAGTGTTTCATATGGCTCTTTTTCACAAATTATCCTGTCTTCCTAGACCTTGTTTCATTTTATAGAAGATAATGTTTCACCCAGACAGATACTGTGAACATGCATTTCTGTGATCTTATGTAACATATACTTCATAAAGGTGGACAGCAGATAGATTCAACCTGTGCATAGCTGGAAGTAATATTCTATAAGATCAGAGAATGCACCCTTTTTTCAGATAGAAAGTGCCATGTGAGTGTGTAAGTTTAAGATGGTTCTTACTTCCAAAAGTAACATTTGAACACCTGGAGTTCATGGGATTAGCTAAGGTAAGTGCTGGGATGTGAAGGAGCAGGATAAAATAGAATTATGAACAACCTATCTTCAGGCCAAAATCCTTTTGTGTAAAGTTACACCTGCATAAGTTGATGGTATGTATCATTAGCTATAGGCTTTTATGATTCATTAAAAGTTTCATATTCTAACTCTCTTATGTTATGAGGCTCCTTCAGGATCCCTTTTGACCTGGAAGAACCTTTGGGAGCCTCAGGACAGAGGTGGAAGCTTTTAAGGCCAGAAAATTTCCACTAAAGCTCCCAATCCTGGTAGTGAGACTGTCAATGACAATTTTCAGTGACTGAAGGTTCTGCTTCTGTCCTGAGGCTCCTAAAGTCTTGCCCAGTTTGCATTCTGATAATATACTGTGGAATAAAAACAACATATTGTATAATCAAAGTATGCCATCATTTCACACTGTATAAATGTTTCTTATTTAGGATTTGCCAGATACAATTCATATTGGAGGAAGGATCTCACCGAAGACAGTGTGGGATTATATTGGCAAACTTAAATCTTCTGTGTCAAAGGTATTTATTTTAAAATGAAGTCTAAAAAGATGTAGAAATTTCTACTTTATTTAAAATAATCTTATTATACCTTAGATAATAATTATAATGTATGGCAGTGGTTCTTAACCTTGGGCTACTCGGGTGTTTTTGAACTGCAACTCCCAGAAACACCAGCTAGCACAGCTGGTGGTGAAGGCTTCTGGGAGTTGCAGTCCAAAAACACCTGAGTAACCCAAGGTTAAGAACCACTGATGTATGGGATCTAGTCATTATAGAACTATTTTTGCTGTGCAGAAAAGGAAGGAGATTTTCCTTGATTTTTTTTGTGTAGCAATGTTTCAACTACTCCTTTGCATTTAAAGTTCTGCATTTTATGGACTGGGCTTCAAAGAATCTTTCAAGTAAAAGTTGCTGTTACTACTGGTTATGTTTCCACTTTCTCCATCCCTGTGACTCTTTGTTACTCAGCCATTAATTTGTATGAGAAATTCTTCAAGAGGTGCAAACTAATATAGCTTCTTGCCTTTCTGGCTGTCCCTTTCATTCTTAACCTTCTTCCTCCTGTCTGATAAAACCCTATAAAAATACATCATGAATATTTTTTTAAAAACTAACAATCTTAAATTGTGGTGAAGTGAAATTATATTGACAATAATATCCTATCATCTTAAAACAGGTGAAATCATATTGAGCAGGGTCTGCCTGTGCAATATCATGATGTCATCAGGTTGCAGTTGATTAAAGGCTTCCTTTTGCAATTTTGGGGTGCATGTGACTTTGTCACATTGAGTGCAAGCTGTTCACACCCTGAAATCGTAGAAGGAAGTCTATAATCAACAGCAATCTACTGAAGCCATTCCCCGTTGCTTAGGCAGAGCTGTGCAACAGGATTTTAGCCATTATTTGATAAGAAAGTGAGAAGAGAATAACTAAAATATTATATTTCAAGAAATCATGCAACTTTTGAAACCACTATCAAATTTTAAATTTATTTCTTAATCTCATATTGGCTTTGTTTGTTTATTTATTAGCATCAAGTCTTCTCCTTGTATATTCTTGTATTTTAGGAACTGTGCTTGATCCGTTTCCATCCTGCCACAGAAGAGGAGGAAGTTGCCTATATTTCACTCTACTCCTATTTTAGCAGTCGTGGTCGATTTGGTGTGGTAGCTAATAACAACAGACGTGTGAAGGACCTCTATTTGATACCTCTCAGTGCTAAGGATCCTATTCCATCCAAACTTTTGCCCTTTGAGGGACCAGGTAAGCAATGAATTGTAGGGAAAATACCTCCTAAATCACCTTGTGAGTCTTGTATCTGTATAACACATGTTGGCCCTAAACATATTTTTGAAATAGGGAATCATAATCAATTCTCCATTCCAAATCTCATGCAGGATGTTAAACTATATACATATACTTAGAGACCTGCTGTTATTTCAAAAAATAAAATCATTTTGATTTCAAGAAAAACAACAATTAAATAAGTCATATTTAAAATACATTGCATGATATGCTCCAGAAGAACACAAGAGGGCAGCATCTTCAAAACATGGCAAGCTAAGAAGTTCACCAATGCCATTCTAACTGAAAGATAGAACCAGTATAACAGTATTTTAGGTGTCAGGCTCTCACATTGAAAAACGCACCAGATTTACAGATTTATACTAACATTTCCTAAAGAAGTGAACAAGGAGCACGGCTGTTCATGATTTTGAAGCTGGAAGTCAGTTGTATACATTTTAAGATGCTTAACTAGTAATGTGCCATCACCTTAATCATGTGCTCTGACAGTCTGGATTAGTTCATTCTTTGGCAAAAAACATTGCAAGATTTTGCATTATTTCTTAAGAGGTCCTCTTTTAAATCCAAGAATAGATTTTAATTAAGACTTGCATGCTTTTAGACTAAGGAAATAGCCCTTTTTTTAAAGGCTGCAACTCAAAGCTTCTGTGCTCTCAAGAAATAGTACTACTATGCCTTTTGCTCTTTTAAAAAGAGAACTATTAGATGTTGCACACATGCTTTTAAGGAAGAGGTCTTGGGCCTTAGAAAAGTTGCAAGAAATCTGCTGGGTGAGTAGAAAAGTGTTTCCCTGCAGTCCCATGAGAATACATGAAGAGTGTATACCTGTGCATGTCTATTCAGAAGAAAGGGCTTGATCACAGCTGTCAAAACAATTCCAGTTATATTGATTTGGCCATTTTTAAATCATTTCATAATTTTCCATTCACATCATGCACAGCCAACATCAATTCATTTGCCCCGGCAGGTTGTTTATTTCCCCATCACCAGGAGGATTGTTTCAAATTTTACCAATGATTAATCGCTTCATTCCTTACTGTTTCAATGTTTGTGATCATTGCTGTTGATTTATTTCCTTTGCAGATGGGTCATGTGTTTGGGCGCTGTGACCACTGCACCTGTACCCTTTGTTTGTTTGTTTCTTTATTGGGACATTGCTAAGTGGCTAGTAGCAGTCAGTGGTGACATTGCTGCCATTGGTGCTGCCACAAAGCAACAACAGTATGAATAAATTGATCAGAAGAAAGCAGCCTTCTATCCCCCCGTTCCCTCTTTCAAGAGGGTTTGGAAGTTCCTGCTTTGAATTGTAAAGAAAGGAGCATTGCAATTTTTTGTAACCCTGCTCTTCAAAATACTTTGCAACTCTTTCAAAGCCTGCTTTCTTCTTCTGACACTGTTCAAAAGGGAAAAGAAAAATGAAAGTCAAGAACTGAGAGGGAGAGATAGGCAGAGAAAGTGAGTAAAGGAGGTGAGGGGGAGAAAAGCCACTGAATATTTTACCTTTGGTGATTAAAAAAGGACAAGGTGGGGCTAATTGCCCAAGAAACAGTAGACAAAGTGAATCAGTACAAAAAAGAGCAGATTGCTATAACAGTTGAAATAGAAAGAAATGAATCAATACAGTTAAAACAATGTGAATGCTACCGCCAATATACAGTATATACCATGTCACTACTGAAAAAAGTATCAGTATAACATAGGTAGGAGAAGAATCAATATAACTGGGGTCCTTTTCTCATGTGTGATCGAGCCCTAAGTTCCATTGAGCTCAGCGGAACTTAATTCTGGGCTAAGTATGCGTAGGATTTCAGCCTCAGCCTTACAGTTATGCACTATATAAAACTGGTGATGAGAAGTAATGTCAATTAAATATTTGGAATTTTAGAAAAAGTAAACTACATCTGCACTATTTTGGTAATAAAAAACTATTAATTTATCCTGTATTAGAAGGTGGCTCTTATTTACTGGGCAAAATCAAATTTTGTGCCCAGCCTAACCCAGATCGAAAAAGCTTCCTAGTCCCCCATCCTGTTTTAGGTTCCCAGACTCCCTCCGACTGCCTTTTGGGAAACCTTTTAGGATGAGGGAAGGCGCCTTTAAAAGTCAGAAATCACAACTGGCAATTCTGATAACAGCTATTGAGCAGTGTTTTTTTTATTTATTTTTAATGCCCACCACCACCATCATCTCCAGGATTCCAAAAGCTTCCCCAGGGCAATCAGTTGCTCGAGGGAGCCTTGAGACCAAAAACTGAGGGACAGGAAGCTTGTAATTAGCATAGTAGGTTAAACGTCCCCAGTGCCTGATCTGGATTATTCTGGGTACAGTATTTTGGCCATTGAAATATAATCTTTTGGGGAGGGGGGAAGTTTCATTAAAATAACTGACGTTGCAAAAAAATACATTGGCCATTCATGGTTCATTTCCAATAGAAAGATAGATAAACCTACAACAGCAAAAACAAACCTTAGACCTAGTTCTCGTCACAGAAGGACAAAAAACAAAAGTGAGTCAGAGACTGCTGTTTTATTTAAAAGCCACAGATCATACAGTTGATCGATCAAGGACTATAAGGCTTCTTAATATTTTTAGACATGGGGTTGCCTGAATTCTTTGCTGTATGAATATATGTATAGAGAGAGGCATAAAATATGCAATCCATATTTTTAAAGTCACGCCTAAGTAGATCTGCTGCTTTCGCTACCTGACCTCAATAAAACTGTTTTAACCCAAGTGGTCATTGTCTCTTTTTAATGTAAATGTATTTTACTCTTCCTAGTTCTTGAAAAAATCTCCCCTAGTAAGATGCTGGAGAATTATTCTGCTGACAAGCATAATTAAAATTTTTTATCAAGTTTTGTTCTGTATATCGGACTACTGCATTGCTGCAAAGATGGGCAATTTAGGCAGGCCTGGGAGGCAAATTTTTACCCTAGCACCGGTTATGGGCACCATGATGCCAGAAAAAGTTTAAAAATCCAGAAGTGACCAGATACCTTCTTCGGCTTTTGATGTTGGGCTTGTGGGAGGGCCACATTTATTCAAAAAATAACCACTCCAGGAATGAAAAATCATTGTTTCAAAAACTTGTTAAAAACACATGACGGAAGAAGAAGGGGCTCCGTGGGAGCCACAGAAAAAGCCTTGAGATTGTATGCTTTCTGCAAACTATCATGCCTGCCCTTCTACTATCAATATTTGGACAAAAATTGGATTAATTGTCTGGCTGCAGTGCCAGAGGTTGGGAGTTCAGTTTCCCCCTGTGCCTCCCAGAAGAGGCAGCTTGTATGGTCTTGGGCAAGCTGCACAGTCCCAGAAGAAGGGAATGGTAAACCCCTTCTGAGTACATCATACAGTGGTGCCTCGCTTAACGATGTTAATTCGTTCCAGCAAAATCACTGTAGAACGAACACGTCGTAAAGCGAAAATAAAAAAACCCATTGAAACGCATTAAAACCCGGTTAATGCGTTTCAATGGGCTAAAAACTCACAGTCCAGTGAAGATCCTCCATATGGCGGCCATTTTCGGTGCCTGTATAGTTAGGAATCCATCCCTAAGCACAGTGGGGAACCATTTTAAGCACCCAGCAGCCATTTTGAAAACCCGACGATCAGCTGTTTTGATCATTGTAATGCGAAGAATTGGTTCCCGAAGCAGGGAACCGATCTTCGCAAAGAGAAAAAAGCCCATTTAAAACATTGTTTTGCCATTGAAATTGCAATAGCAAAAACATCGTCGTGAAGTGGATTCATCATAATGCAGGGTAATCGTTAAGCGGGGCATGGCTATACTTGGAAAACCCTGAAAGGGGTCACCATACGTCAGAATTGACTTGATGGATGATGATGATGATGATGATGATTATTATTAATCGGTTTTAGTCCTAAGCAAAAGAGAAAAACAATTTTACCATATAAAGAAAAAGTTTTAACTTACCAGAACTGGAAGATATTACTTGATTTCATTATTTGTGCCTTGACCTTTAAGTAATTGTGCTGCATGGCAGAACACTTTTCTACAAGATTTCACTTCAGCTGGTTTCAAAATCAAGAAAAGGAATGAAAGCATCATTTGTAAGGGAGCTGTGAAATTTTAGTACCATAAAACTTAGAAGAAAAAGGATATGATTCGACTTTTGATGAACAAAGCGGCACTTTGTTTCTTTTCTGAACAGTAACGGTGAATGAAAATCTGAAAAATGGATCAGAGCAGTTGTTCCCAGTTTCACTGAGGAATTCTACAGTGATATATTTCCTGTTGTTACATATATAAATGTGACAGCTCCTCTGTCATCACTTTCATTTGCACAGTTTCATGTAATCAGCAGTTGCTCAGAACACGGTTTGCTCAAAAGCTTTTCATTATTTTCCCTAGCCCCTTCTGCTCATTCCATGTTCCTCAGGTTGACTGGGGAGGGAATAAATTGTCTGGATCCTTCATCTATACAAGTGTCTGCCAACCATCGCTGCTACAAAAAGTGTGTCTACTATTAATTAAAAGACTTTACCAACACTTTCAAACATTTATACTGGAACTTCAGTTGCAGTTTTCCTACTCTTTTTATGTAGACTACTTTGACTTGGGGTTTTTCCATAAAGAGAAAGAGCATTTCCCAGAAAAGATAACATGTCCTGAAACATCAATGAAATGTACAAAATCCATTTCCACATACATTCTACGTCAGGCTCTAATTTATTTTAGACCATTGTTATTGAGGATATCATTTTTATTTTAAGAATTATTTTATTTCTAATGTCTTGGTTGCTACAAGGAAGATCTTAGTGGGAAAAGCAGCAGCATTTCTAGTTGGAAAGCATTACCTGCCTTGATATGCTGCATGGCAAGAGTATTTGGTTGGAAACACACATACCACAGCTTTATTTCTTCTATTCATTCACATTTATTTGCTCAAAAGCAAGCAAGATGATGCACATTGTCTGTTAAGAACAGCTCGTTG